ATGGTTTTCAGCAAATGGGAATGATTAATACCATAGGATGTATCGATGGTATGCATGTCCCCATCCCCAAACCAAAAGAACATGGGCATTCCTATATCAATAGGAAAAAATTTGCAAGCATTATATTACAGGTAATACACACTAACTTCCCAGTTTTTCACAACGATGATGATGATTTGTTTTAGGGAATATGTGACAATGAGCTAAAATTCACCCATTGCTATGCAGGTGAAGTTGGAGGAAATCATGACAGCACAGTACTAAGAAGAAGTGAAGTGTGGAATTTTCTAAATGAACAGAACCAAACAAAGTTTCCTGATGACACTCATCTTCTGGGTGACAAAGCATATCCTTGCCTTCCTGAACTTATAACTCCATATAAAAATAATGGACACTTGAGTAATCAACAAAAAAATTTCAATTTCTTACTGTCCAGAAAAAGAGTTACCATAGAAAAAGCATTTGGATTACTCCAAAAAAGATTCAGATGCCTCAAAGACTGTCTAGATGTTAGAAGAATGGAATGGATACCAAAATATATTATTGCTACTTGTGTGCTACATAATATTTGTATAATGCAAAATGATATCATAGATTTTGCTGCGAATGAAGAAATCCCAGATGATGAGTATGAAGTAGAAGATGCAAGGCATCATGGACAAATGTTGCTATTGGAAAGGGCTAACAGGGACAGATTATGTCAACAAATAAATAATCCTTAGTTTCTGTTAAATAGATTTATTTGAAATAAACATAGTTTCAATGAACGATTTTCAATGTCATAACCCAACAAATGAAACACAAAAATAAATATCTTCTCTAATAATAATCAAATGCAGTATTTAAATCTTCAGTGGAAACTTAACACCAACAGCCACTCCCCTTAATTTAAAAATATTCTTATTAATTTTCATCTTTCTTACCAACCAATGAAAAACTTTGTTCTTATGCTCCATTTCAATTCAATTTTCAATTCAATTCAATTCAATTCAATTTCTTCCTCATGTCTTTTTTGAATCCGTTCATCTATGTCTTTAAGTGTTAAAGACTTGGGTCTTCTCTTTTCACCTGGTGAAAATTTACTGCAATTAGTACTGGTTTGTTTTGATATTCCACTACTGGAAGTTGTACATATAGGTGTGAAACGTGGATCTTTGTGATAAATCTCCTGGAAATCCTTGAAATATTTCCAGGTGACATTTCCATTACCAGATTTTTCTAATTCCATTTTGAGTGTGGATAATTTGCTGACCAAAAAATATTCCTGCCGACAAGAACCTTGAGGTATATTTAAACACGTTAAACTATAAAACTGAGTCATGCATGATGGAGTGAACGTGCCACCATAGAGAAAACTCGAATCAACCCTCATTTAGGGGTAGTTTATACTTGTGATTTTTCGGAAAACTTTGCTGACCAAGGCTTTCCAATTCATATATTTCATTGAAAAGATGGAATATGAATGTTCGGAACATGTTTTCAGTGCCACCATATCGAAAATTCATAACAACCCCCTCATAAGGGTAGTTTATACTTGTGATTTTTCGGAAAACTTTGCTGACCGAGGCTTTCCAATTGATATATTTCATTGAAAAGATGGAATATGAATGTTCGGAACATGTTTTCAGTGCCAACATATCGAAAATTCATAACAACCCCCTCATAAGGGTAGTTTATACTTGTGATTTTTCGGAAAACTTTGCTGACCGAGGCTATCCAATTGATATATTTCATTGAAAAGCTGGAATATGAATGATCGTAACATTTTTCCAGTGCCACCATATCGAAAATTTATAACAACCCCCTGATAAGGGTAGTTTATACTTGTGATTTTTCGGAAAACTTTGCTGACCGAGGCTTTCCAATTGATATATTTCATTGAAAAGATGGAATATGAATGTTCGGAACATGTTTTCAGTGCCACCATATCGAAAATTCATAACAACCCCCTCATAAGGGTAGTTTATACTTGTGATTTTTCGGAAAACTTTGCTGACCGAGGCTTTCCAATTGATACATTTCATTGAAAAGATGGAATATGAATGTTCGGAACATGTTTTCAGTGCCACCATATCGAAAATTTATAACAACCCCCTCATAAGGGTAGTTTATACCTGTGATTTTTCGGAAAACTTTGCTGACCAAGGCTTTCCAATTCATATATTTCATTGAAAAGATGGAATATGAATGTTCGGAACATGTTTTCAGTGCCACCATATCGAAAATTCATAACAACCCCCTCATAAGGGTAGTTTATACCTGTGATTTTTCGGAAAACTCGGGTTGTTATAAATTTTCGATATGGTGGCATTGAAAAAATAATCCATTCATTAATATTCCAGCTTTTCAATGAAATATATCAATTGGATAGCCTCGGTCAGCAAAGTTTTTCGAAAAATCACAAGTATAAACTACCCTTATTAGGGGGTTCTTATGAATTTTTCATATGGTGGCACTGAAAACATGTTCCGTACATTCATATTCCAGCATTTCAATGCAATATAACAATTGGAAAGCTTCGGTCAGCAAAGTATTTCGAAAAATTACGAGGATAAACTACCCTTATCAGGGGGTTGTTATAAATTTTCGATATGGTGGCACTGAAAAAATGTTACGATCATTCATATTCCAGCTTTTCAATGAAATATATCAATTGGATAGCCTCGGTCAGCAAAGTTTTCCGAAAAATCACAAGTATAAACTACCCTTATGAGGGGGTTGTTATGAATTTTCGATATGGTGGCACTAAAAACATGTTCCGAACATTCATATTCCATCTTTTCAATGAAATATATCAATTGGAAAGCCTCGGTCAGCAGTTTTCCGAAAAATCACAAGTATAAACTACCCTTATGAGGGGGTTGTTATGAATTTTCGATATGGTGGCACTGGAAACATGTTCCGAACATTCATATTCCATCTTTTCAATGAAATATATCAATTGGAAAGCCTCGGTCAGCAAAGTTTTCCGAAAAATCACAAGTATAAACTACCCTTATGAGGGGGTTGTTATAAATTTTCGATATGGTGGCACTGAAAACATGTTCCGAACATTCATATTCCATCTTTTCAATGAAATATAACAATGGGAAAGCCTCGGTCAGCAAAGTTTTCCGAAAAATCACAAGTATAAACTACCCTTATGAGAGGGTAGTTATGAATTTTGGATATGGTGGCACTGAAAACATGTTCCGAACATTCATATTCCATCTTTTCAATGGAATATATCAATTGGAAAGCCTCGGTCAGCAAAGTTTTCCGAAAAATCACAAGTATAAACTACCCCTAAATGGGGGTGGATTCGGATTTTGAATATGGTGGCACGAAGGCATTCCTCCATAGATATAAGATCTGTATTATGATCCCATTAATCGCACTACAAATCTCAAATCAACGAATTATTCGATTGTGGTCAGCAAATTACTTTTTCCCTTCCATTTTCACCTTATCATAGGCCTTCCGTAAATTTCTCCACTTCTCATCACAATTGATGTGATCTTTATTAACCCCATGAGGCTTCATCTCATTACTGATTATGACCCATACTTTCTTTTTAGTGTATGACCCATTGTTGAATTTGTTTATGTGAGTTTTATAAGTAGCAATCAATAATGAAACCTCTTCATCTTTCCAAATATTGTTCATTCCTTCCCTCTCCTTACATACCTTCATCTCATCATTCGTTGATGTATTTCCTGATATTTGAGGTAGCATCACAGACTGTTTCACTTTAGATGGTAGTTTCTGATTGATCACATCTCTGACCATTTGTTTGGTCTCATAATTCATATTAATATTATCACTACCTTCGAAACAGCCATGATTCTCCGTAATTCCATTTTGGACAATATCAATTAATGTGCCCAAGTTAATTTGGCAATGTCCACATGAAAAAACAGAATTATCCTGAAATCGATAAAAATGTAGATAAGCTATTATGTAAATCATATAATTCAAAAATACCTCTATGAAATTCTCCATAAGGAACAACTTTTGAATTTAATCAAAATAAAGGAATATGATTTTATATTCTTTTTACTTATTAGAATAAAAATATTTATTGATAACAAAACAAACAACTACACTACTGTCAACGTCAACCGCAACAACCGGATTAAATTCACGGTTGTTCTGGTGACAGATTTCGCTAACCGGTTTTCAGTAACACTGTTCCGTATATCCACAAAATTTAAGACTCTGACATTTACGGAACGCGATTTTCAGTAACCGCATAAATAAGCTGATATACGGTACATACGGACCGTGTCTAGATGCCCGCGCGTCGGCAATCTACTTTGTTATAATAAGATGTTCCTTAAGGTCGTGACACAATGCAAAGGAACAGGGAATAGAGAATACAGAACAGAATATAAGGAATGAGGAATAAAGATTTATTTATTTTTCAACACAGAATGGATGCCTCAAGCAGGAATAGAATTAAATGTTGACCAATCAACAGCTTGCAAATGACATGGCACATTGCATTTGACAGTTTGTAGTTTGACTCGTTCGGTAGTTTTGTTTGAGGGATGGTTGATGGTTTTTATTATTAATAATTATTTTGTTATTTAAAATAACGTTATTTTTATTTTGAGTTTTTGATCAGATTTCAGTAGGTATCTACTTTTACCTCAGCAGAAAGCAGAACTATAGGCAGTGTTGGGAATGCTGGTACAATCGTACTATTTCTGGTACATTTGCATTGCAAAAATACGTCAGTACAACAAACCGATAATTGGCTGTATTCTAGTACATTTTGAAGATCTCAACAAACAGCGTTCGATTGTTCGATAGCTACTCTCTCAGTGGAGTTTGAAGTAGTATAGGCAACAAAGAACAAACCATAAAAATTTAAAATGCTGGTTGCAGTGGTTGCCCGATGAATGATCACAGAACTCACTTTGAGTTCTGTGCCGACTGACGATGATTCGATTGTTTATGCGCATGTATTTGTTATTGTTATTTGCAATTGCAAATGCAATGTTCAATTTTTGTTTCAAATGGAAAGGTAAGTAGGTATATTTGATATTGGATTGAATAACTCATTAGCAGCATCTTTTTATTTGAAGGTATCTGAAAAAATTCAAGGAAGACTCAGGAAGACAGGGACAAGAAGACGTTGAAAGATCTGAATATCCTGATGTTCAGCCATCAGTATCAGGCCAACAACCTGGTAAAAATAAACCGTCAGATTTATCACAACATGATGATGACTTGCCATCTGATGAGGATCCTGTTATTCCTGTTATTGCGAAAAAGAATTACACACAAAAATTCCGTGATTCATGGTTGAAAGAGAAAAGTTTTAGCACATGGTTAGTGAGAAACCCATCAAAATGTGAAGAGCCTTTTTGTCAGTTATGTGCCAAGTCAATTCGAGGATGCATTGTGATGCACAAAAAAAGGTTGAAGAGTGCATCAGATACTCCGAGAGTTACAATGTTTTATAACAAAAATAAAGAAGACAAAATGCTCAAACAAATAAAATCTGCAGAAATGAAATTGGTAGCTTTTGTTGCAGAACACAATTTATCATTTTCTGTTTTGAACCACCTACCACAGTTAATAGCATCTGTCTGCCCAGATTCTGGAGTGGCTAAAAAACTGAAGTGTTGTAGGAAGAAAGGAACTAAAATAACTAAAGATTTAATGAGGTCTGAAAATATTTACAATTTATCAAAAAAATTGAAAAAATGTGAATTCTCCCTTATAATTGATGAAAGTACTGATATTTCCTCAGTTAAAAATTTGGCAATGGTAGTACGCTTTTATGATAAGGAGATGAAAAAAGTGCATGATGCTTTTTTAGCACTCTTGGAGGTACAGGATACAGGATGCCACTGCTGATGCTATATTTGTTGCCATTTCGCATTTTTTTGAGGAAAATGTATTCCCAAAAATAATCTATTTGGTTTTGGGGCGGATAATGCATCCACAATGATGGGCCGGAGGAATGGTGTGAGAGAGAAATTATTGGAGTTCAATCCGGATTTATTTGTCATTGGCTGTACCAGTCACTCTCTGGCCTTAGTTAGCAATGCAGCATGTTCTCATATTCCAAATTCCATTGAACAATTCACAAGAGATGTATACAATTATTTTTCCCACAGCAGTAAACGTATTTTGTCATTTAAAGAATATCAGTTGTTTGTAGAAGTTAAACCACACAAAATGTTGAGATTATCCCAAACACGATGGCTGAGCTTGGAATCAGTTGTCAAGAGAATTCTCGAACAGTGGTCAGCTTTGCAAATATTTTTCTCAAATGAGGCACTGGTAGAAAAAGTTGAAAAAGCGAAACCAATATGGGAAGCTTTGAATAATGATATTTTTAAATTATATCTCTCATTTTTATCCTATATTCTAAGTGTGATTAATAAAATTAATTTAGAGTTTCAGTCAGAAAGTTTCAGAGCACATATTCTACTACCTAGAATAACATCCATTTACAAAACAGTGCTAAATAATTTTATGAAAGCTTCTTATGTTAAAAACTGTAACTTGGATGAAGTTGCCTTTCTACCTGAGAACTACCTTGAATAATATTCATTTTGGTGCTGACTGTGAAGCTTTAATATTGAAAAATTCAGTTCCAGAAGATGATCTGAAAAGTTTTAGGGTGAGATGTTTGAGTTTCTATATCGAATTATGCAAAGAACTGAAGAGTAGGTTTAAGTTTAATGATCCCGCCTTGAATTTTGTTCAAAACCTGGATCCAAAAATTGTTACAAAAAATCCTGAATCCATTATTCCCATTTACTTGAAATTTCGCTCTGTATTTTCAAACAATGTTAACCTAGAAGAACTGAGTACTGAGTAGATATATATTGAGAGAATCATTACCGGCATCACGGCATCAGGCAACCAATCACAGCGCTCGATATATATTGAGAGAATCATTACAGCTTCAATTGATATTTATTAATGTTAATTGATGACCGGGCAAAGGTCATCAGACTAATTTATATTGATTAACGAAATGCTCCATCAGATGAATTAATCAATGGATTCATCAGACTAATTATCTTCAATTGTGTGATAATTTTCAAATTGAACACTCCCTTCTAGTTTGGCTATAAATACTCTGGTGTAGTCTTGATTTCATTAGTGAACATGCAAGATAGAGACTTATTGGATATATTTATACAAAGTGGTGATTATCGTGTGGTCGAAACAAAACAGTGTTGTGTTTGCAAAAAAATTATCAATCGAACATATCTATCAAGTGGTTGTTGGTTGAGCAGACCAAAATTGACAATTGAATTGTGCAAACGTCTTTGCAAGCAAACGAGGCCAATAAAAGTCGTCAGATCTTACGCGAAGGATCCTTCATTAGTACTGCTGTCCCCCAACCATGAACATTTCTGAAAAAACGGAGAAAATTGAAGAGAACTGGGATAATGATGATTATTCCACTTATGTACCGAATGTCGAGGACAAAGACATTATCAGATGTCCACCACCTGGCAAGAGCAGAAGGGAAAAACGGAAATTCCGAATGGATGAGAGAATACGGCATAGTCAAATTAAAAATATGCTGACCCTAGAAGAACAGCAAGTCTGGGATGAAAAAGTATTTCAGAATCAGCATAGATTTTCTAATGTAACGGGAAAATGAGACTTTGATAAATGAAATGAATATCCTGTATCTTACCAGTTTCAATAAATATGACTTGAAAGTAGATGATGATTTCAGTTTATCAGAAGTTGTGACCATGATCACACCACAATGTTTAGTTTTACAAGTGATTCTTCAAGGCTTTCTCTATATCGCAAAACCTTATAATATAAGAGAAGTATTCATATGTTTCGATAGTGATGGTACACGAAATGAAAGTTGGCCTTCTAAATGGGCAAGAATGGAATCAACTACAATAAATAATGTTTCAACTCTCAAATCACTCATACCCAGCAATAGCACTATGTACAAGTTGCGATTGCGAAAGGGCAGTGGCTCCACCATTGATTCTGACTGGTGTGAACTAAATCCCTCCCCCCCACTACACCATGATACAACTATAATGAAGGATGATGCGGAATTCAGAATAGTCGATTGGGTTACGTACTACACAGCAGTGTGTGCATCATTGTTGCTGTTCAACCTCATTGTTACAACATGTCTAAAGATTGCCCTAACTGTTTATTGACCGAACTCGTGAATAAACACCGAAACCGAAATAAAAAATTGTACGATTTTACCGAAGAAGAGCTCCAGAATTTTCCACTACATTATCTTATTAAAAATGTAGGTCCGATGGAACTTCTCTATGCATGGGACAAACTGCCATCAAAATATACAGAGAATTTTGAACTTCGTATCCAGCTACCATGCTTTGTCCACTTCAATCGCCCTGAATGGAGAGATCATGTAGACGGCCTTCCTCAAGCACAATCAAGCTGTCATGTTTGTAGATGGGGCCTCGAGCGATGTGGATAATATTAATATTTTGTATTGAATAAATGTAATAAAACAAATTCACTCGATAATGATTTTTATTTCATATGTCACAAATACTACATATTATAATCCATAATTACAATATACAAATGAAAATCACATCAAAACTATTGGTCAGAGTCTTCCTCGTCAATCAAATCTTGAGCTATTTCCAAAAACTCATCTAAAGTTCCAGTGATAGCTCCTGGTGTTATAAGGAAATGACCCCAAGCCAAAGTTTTCACATCAGAAGGAATTTTATAACGCTTATCATCAGCAGATGACAAAGCGACTTTATTTCTTAATTCCGTATGAATGGTGTGGAGAGAAGAAGTGAACATATACATCTTACGTAATATTGTTCCACCATTTTCTACAATATTCACATAGTCTGAAAACTGAATTTGGTTTTTGACCACGTTTTTTGAGACACCTTTGGCTTTTTTCATCACATCACCTGCTTTTACACAGTATGCTTTCGCACCAGTACCATAGAAAGATTCAATAGGTCTTGCGGCATATTCATCTTTCATGCGTCCTATAACAGATTTCGATTTGGGGATTTGGTGTATATTGTCTATGGGATAATTTGACGTATCGAAAAATTGGATATTTTCTTTCATATCATTATAGAAATTTTCTGTGAATATTTCTAGAATTAATGAATCCGTATCGGTGTAGCATAATGTTGCTTTATCACCATATTTTGCTTTGATATATCCATAGAAAAAATCGTAAATGACAGTTTTCGAAATATCCAATACCGAAAATCCAACATACATCGGTTTATCATAACATACACTAGTCTTTTCCAACTGAATTGCAACCAAGTTCTCACTGAATTCTGTACTGCATTTGAAATGTGGTTTGGCTATCAAAGCCCTTGCCCCCAGAGAATTTGTCTTATTTTCCCAGCGTGAGCAAAGTTGCAAGTCAATTCTTTTGTCGACATTTTCCATGGTTTTTCCAAATATTGAATTTATCAATAATTTGAAGAGTTCTCGTTCAAATTCGTTTACTGCGGAATTCCGGAGGTGCGTGTTCAGGTCAATATATGGCCTCAACCACGCCGATTGGGAGAATTCTAAGATTCTATGGATTTTCTCTAGTTTCAAACCATATATCAAACACTGCTTCAAATTTCGGTAATGTATAATGTATTTGCATTTGTTTCGTAAATTGGGGATCAGTTTGGCACTCTTACTCTTTGGCGGGATCATTTGTTCTGGGCAAAATGGTAAATCGTTGTGATCATGGTGTAGGTTGGCTGGATATTCCAAGTCCACTTCTAAAACGTATCCTTTTGATGAGTCGTCCTCGATCGCGTGACAGTCAAAGTTTTCGATATCCTCAGACTCGACCCACTTAAAATCACCTGTTGGAAGATGACTTGCCATACTTGCTCCATATAAATTTGTTGCATCCAAATACATGATGTATGATGTTGGTTTCTGAGAATCAAAGTTTGGTAGGAATTTGTTATTTGCCACAGCTCTTCTTTTGCTACATTGTGCCACCCCTCCTCGAATACCCTTCTTGAAAAAATGTATCATATCTATATCAGTCAAGAGCTGAAGTTCAATTTGTGTATAACGTAACATAGCATCCCAGCTCAGTGCAGGTGCTGTCAGATAGTGGGCAGGATCTAGCTTGTATTGTTGCATGCAGCATTTTCTGAAATTCTCAAAAACGTCCGCTAGCAGCAGACAATCGGATTTCAAATAAACATCGGCGTAATCTCCCAATGTTTTACATTCGAAGGTATTCCACACATCTATAGCTCTATTATAATCCATGTCTGAAAGTGATTCGCCGGTTAATTCATTATAGAACTTTTCTTTCGGCGGTAGTTGAGTTTCTTTCAATTTTTCCAAGCAGTCCACATAGTTGTAAGGAAAAACTCCTTTTTGTCTTATTAGATCAAATTGTTTGTTATCTTGAAAGTATTTCCGAACCTCGTTACACTGCTGCACCTCTAAATTTTTGCTGAGTTTGTCGAGAGATTTTGGTAAAAATCGAAAGGAGTCTACAAATCTCAACTGAATATATTCATCAAATACTCTTGACACTTCAGATTTATTAACCAATACTGACTTGGAGAACGAAATATACTTTTCTTTAGTTTGGGCTATCACTGATATTCTTTCTCCTTTCGTTGCTAATTTCTTGATGAAAAGATGAGAATCATAATTTGTGAGGTTGTGGAAGAATACTGGAATAGTCTTTGAGGTCTTGTAGTTCAAATTACAAACACTATGGGCAGCTGCACGAAATTTTCCAGTGTGGTGGCAGTGATCACGAACTTTGATATCTGTTGGCTTGAATGGCTTTCCACAAATATGGCACGTAGTACTATTTTGGAAACCTTGCTTCTCTATCTCAGTAAGTGGATGCATTTCACGAACATCCT